CATTCTCTCTAAGGCAAAAATCTCTAAGGAAAAAAAAAAATAGAAAGTGGATCCTTAGGCACCCAGCAGTCTACACTAGTTCACAACTTTTGGAAAAGAACTAAGCTGTCCCTATCGAACCCTACCTAAATTGCAGATTCATTAGCAAAATAAGTGATAGTGTTGTTAACCGAAGACACTTCAGTTTGGGGCTTGTTTGTTAAGCAGTGACAGGTACCTGGAACACCGTGCTGTGTTTGCCAGCAGGGCAGTGGTACACTCAGAGGTTAGACAGTTGGGCTATGTCTGCTGTGGTTCAAAGTCCAGCTCTGCTACTTATTAGTCGTAAGACTTTTGGCAAGTTATGTAACTTTCTGAGCGTCAGTGTCCTTTTGTAGGTATAAGTAAAAATAATACCACTTCTTGTCTTTGTTGGGAGGATTATGTGATTGAAGGCAGGTAAATGCAGATCTGCAAGTAGCACAGATCAATCATTGCAATCACCTCTTCGGAAAAGCCTCTGATCATTTGACCATCACTGTCTCATGTGATCTGTTTCTTTGACTTTGTAGTACTTTCAGTCTATTAATACATATAGGGTGTGTGTGTGTGTGTGTGTGTGTGTAGTTTAACTTTTAGTACTATCTGAAATGATCTCATCTACTCCTTTACTGCTTATCCCATCTGAGTGGAAGTCTCAATGGAGCAGGAACCTTGTCCATTGCATTCACTGCTGTATCCCCAGTACCTCCAGCAGTATCTGGCACAACATGCTTAATAACTTTTTTTGTTAATGAGTGGATGTATCATCCACTTTTCACACTATTTTGGAAAAACATCGCTAGTTCCCACCCTGTATCTATTGTCCTTCCATAGTAGCAGATCCTCCTTTTGTTTTAGATGTTGATCAGAATATTTACTGTCTCTCCTCTGCAGCTAAGGATCACCATGTAATACATTTCTTGTCAGTAATACCTAGTCAAAAGTCCACTAAGAATGTCTAGGAAAATTTTTGTCCTCCAGATACAGGTACTGTTCCTGCTTCCTGCCTACAATACATTTGAGAAGTAGAGCAGCCAAAAAAGGTGATAAGCATAAGGACAAAAACAGAAAAACAGGCCAGCAGATGATGTGGAGGTTAAGGCAGCTATAGCCCACATGGCTGGCTATGTGGTTCAAGTCCCAAACCCAGCAGCTTGAAAATCATACAGGTTCATGTGCATGGATGCCCAAAGTCCCAAGAGGAGAAGGGATTATGGCATGGCCATCCCCCTAGGTGAGGTGATCTCTCACTTTCTTTCTCTGTCTTCTGCGAGTGCACGCACCCTACAACAAACAATAAAAGGGGGAGAAAATAGATCACTGAGACGTTGATAATCTAGTGGATCACTTTTCTACTTACTCCATGCCTCTTCTTGTGTGAACAGAATTAACACTTTGTGATGAAGCTCCAACAGCCAGCCTTCTGTTACGTGCAGCCAAATGCATTCTCAATCACATCTGCCCTTTCAGATCATTAAGGGCATGCCTATACATTCCATTACCTTACTACTCTATAGCAGAATGGGAATATTTTATCTGTACAAATATTCACTATCCAGATCTCTTCAAATGGTAGTCAGGCAGCAGGGGCACTGTATCGTCTGAATCTGTTTAGCTTTTGAGTTCACATAGATTTCAGATTGGGGGACGGAGGGCGTTGACATGTGCCATTCATTCCTGAAAAATGCATTTACTTATTGCCACTCTGTGCCAGGTACTACATGACAGCTGGGGGTGCAGAGATGATTTAGTCAGATGACTGAAGCTGGATAGACGCGTGAGTTCCCACTATACAATAAGCTCCCAAAGGGAATTGCTGAGCTATTCTCAGTAAGGGAGAGACTTAAGTCTCTGTTTCTTTACTGTTGTGTTCCCATCTCAACAGTCTTTACCCCATCCCCCTCTAATAGTCTTACTTCACTTATTCATTCACCAGCAATTTTTTAGTGCTTCCATGTCCCTAGAATACAGAGTACTGGGGTTGTATTTCTATCTGTGGTTTGAATGCCTAATCTTTTTTTCCCACATATATTTATTTATTTATTTATTTGGTCAGAAGGCATGTGTGCTTGCCATAGAAATGTAGAAAGAGTGAGGGAGATAACGCCCCCCGATGGGGTGCTGCAGTCCCTTCTCCATGTTTGCACAGCGTTGGTCCAACCCCAGTTTGCAGCTGGTCCTGCACCACAGTGTCCGGCATAGGCCAGGAACCTTCCCATGGAGGACTGCCTGTGGTGCTGTGCCATCATCTGGCCCCTTGAATGCCTAACCTTTGACCTCCAAGGTAAAGATCATTCAGGTTCCAAATCTTGAGTGCTTTCTAACGACAAAGCCGTGTGCTCTTGCTGATCCGTCACAGAGTGGCTGTTTTCCTAACATCACCACGTCTGTAATATGTGGCCTCCCTAAACTCAGCTGTGGGGCTGGATGTGTTAACCATATCCTAAGGTCATGACTGGGTGTTGTAGTCCCAAACCCAAATGATGGGTCTCTTCACTCAGCCTCAGTCTAGCTAGGTCAAACTCTGGATAGTAGTAAAACACTTCAGTCTAGACATTAGCTTAGCACCAAAGCTTAAAACTTTAGGCTTTTCTGCCATGGGAACAGGTTGAGACAGACCATTGAGACAGGTGCTAGGAATTCTGGGACCATACTGTATTGTTAATTTTTTTGTTTGTTTTTTAAGAATTATTTCATTCTATTATTTATTACTCTTCTTCAGTTTGACCAGGGAGAGGGCCTGCCAGATCCAGGACTCAAACAGTAGTCGCCATGTGAGAATTCAGGGCTTTAACCACCATATCACATGCTGGCCCAGTCTCCCCCCGTCCCCCGGAGGGTGTGTGTGTGTGCTCACCAGAGAAATAGAGAAAAGCACCCCCCAATAGGACATGGTCACTCTGTGATCCTTTCCTTCCATTTCTTCATCCCATCAGGATTTGGGTGTGTAGGCACATGTGCCTGGTGTGGTTTATAAGCCACTGGGCTCAGGATCTGAACTGGCTGGCTCTCTGTACACTGGGATCAACGCTGCACTGTGGAGCCGTCCAGTATTATCACTTTAGATATGTTACTTTTGAGGGCTTTTAGATTACTCTGTGTGCACAGTATTTCAAGGATAGGAGGTTGCTGGACTATTTAGAGAATCTGATAGCGATGATAGCACCTTTCTCCAAAATAATAAACAGGAATACACATACACACACATAGTATCAATTTTTTTTAGTGAGAGAGATTTTTGCTGTAGGGTGTGTATTTGCCAGAGAGATGAAGAGAGACAGAGAAATCATCCCTCGGGGGCATGGCCATGCCACAATCCCTTTTCCCCATTCGCCTCTCAGAACTTTGGGCATGCACGCACACACACACACACACACACACACACACACACACACAGCACAAGTTCAAGCTCATATAGTATCATTTAGAAACAGGGGGCTGGCAGGTGGCGTGGTGGTTGAGGGCGCTGGACTCCCACATGGTCAACCGAGGTTCAAGTCTGGGTCCTGGCTGCTTGCTTTCTCTCTCTCTCTCTCTGTCTGTCCTTCTCTGGTCAAATTAAAATAAATAAATACATAAATAAAGTTCAATAAAATAATTCTTTAAAAAAAAAAAAAAAAGAAACTGTTCCAGGGAATTTAGGTTAAGAATCTACCTATAATTTACCATGAAGGTGGAAACTTTTTCTATACTATCATTAGGTCCTTAATCAGGTACTAGTTTAATTTACCTTTTCATGTATATGTTTTATTCCAATGAGTGGGCAAGCTCCCTGCAAGGAACATATGCCCCTTTATTATTCCCCAGTGATGTATGCATGTAGTCACCACAGCATGTGGGAAATACTGCCATGAAGCCCTCTGAACCTGCTGTGGTTTACTGAGGACAGGCAGCTTTCCTTTCGCCACTCCATCCTCCACCACACCTCCCTCCACCGCAAAAGAGATCACGAGCTACCCGGACGAGGACTTGGACTCTATACTCATGTTCTGTTTACTTAAAAAATTTTGCTCACCAGAGAGAAATGGAAAGACAGAGAGAGAAAGCACCCTCCAGTGGGGCATTACCATTCTCCATTTCTCCATCTTGTCAGCATTTTAGGTGAGCATATACATGTACCCAGTGTGTTTTGCAAGCTGCTGGAGCTGGGATTTGAACTGCAGTTGGCCAAATGGGATCTAGCTCCTTTAAACACTAGGCCACAGGGCTCACAGGGCTGGCCTTGTTCTATTTACTTTCAGTGTTTTTTCTGTTTCTTTTTTTTTCTTTTTTGAGAGGTTTTTGCTATAGGGCGTGTGCGCTCACCAGACAGACAGAGACAGAAAGCGAGAAATCACCCCCCAGGGGGGATGACCACGCTGCAATCCCTTTTCCTCTATTCTCCTCTCGGGATCCTGGGCACGCATGCACATGCGCCCGGCATGAGTTTAAGCCACTGGGTCTGGGACTCGAACCGTGGTTGGCTACAATGGGAGTCCAGCGACATAGCCATTAAGCTAACTGCTGGTCCCCTACTTTCAGTGTTTTACTTTGAGGCATTTACATACTCCTCATGCGATTATCCATTACTGGATATTAAGAGAACAAAGCAGTGCCCAGTGGAAAGCGTTATATATATAAAGGGTATTAATAAATGAATGTATTCTATTATCTTAGAATGTTGTGATATCTTCCTCCCTTCCTCAGCTCTGTATTTCAACCCATTCGCACCCACACACCCACGGCTCTAAGCAGGACCTCCTGGTGGTCCTGTCCCATGAGTTACTTCTCAAACTGCACTCCTTTCCTAGCATGTGCTTGTGGGAAAAAAATTCAAATCTGGAATAAATCTAATGCTAACAGAATAGTGGCCACGTGGTTTCTTCCTTTTTTTTTTTGGGACCTCTCCTCCCCACCATAAATCTCAAAGGGCCACTCAATCTCTTAACTTCTTTGTAACTTCAAAAGGTTTTTCCTGCCTCTAGTCTTTGACTCCATAGGTGACTACAGCCACCTGGTGGCCATGTGGGGAAACAGCAAGTAGATTGTTCCCAGAAGTCTGGTGAGAGGAAGAAACTGGAATCATTTCTGTCTTGGATCTATGGGACGCAGGGGGAGAGAAGCATACGGGAAAAGACTGCAGCACAGGAGTAAGACATCCTGCTTCTCGGTCCCACCTTGCCTTCCAGCGTACAACATCCCACCCACTGGTGACGACAGACAGATGAATTCACTTAACACTGGAGTTCAGTCAGTCAACATTTATTGAACAGCAGCTATGTGCCCAGCAGTGGGAATACAGCAATGGACAAAATGCACAAGAACTCTGCCCTCATGAGCTTACAGTCTAGCAGCCAGCCAGCCAGTACATCCATAATTTACAGTTGTAGGAAGGTCTCAGAAATGTATGATGCTAAGAAAAGAATTTACAAGTTTGGACTACACTGAGAAATCAGAAAAGGCCTCCCTGAGGAAGAAACATTTAGGACCAGCTGGGTATTGCAAGCAGAGAGCAAAGTCTGAAGGCTCTGTGTCAAAAGGAAATGAACTAAAAGCCAGCAGTGGGGCTGGGTCATGCGGAACGAGGATGTGTCATGGATGAGATGCACGAGGCAGGCAGAGCATGATTTTTGCAGGGCCTCTGAATTTAGGACTTTATTCCAAAAACAATTAGAAGCCACCAAGAATCTTTTTTTTTTTTTTTTTTAGATTTTTGGTAAAGGGCACGTGCACTCACTGGAGAGAAAGAGAGAGAGAGACAGAAAGTGAAACATCACCCCACAGGGGAGATGGCCAGGCTGCAATCCCTTTTCATCCATTCTCCTCTTGGGATGTTGGGCATGCACACACACACACACCCCTGGTGTGAGTTTTAAGCCACTAGGTCTGGGACTCAAACCGCGGTTGACTACGTGGGAGTCCAGTGACATAACCATTATGCCATCTGCGGGTCCCAGAAGCCACCAAGAATCTGTGGCAGGACAGATGTTTTGGTCTCTCAGAGCTCATTCTGACTGCAGTGTGGAAGGCAGACGTGGACATGAAGGGCAGGTTAGGAAGTTTCCACAGCAGTCTAGACAAAAGGTGAGGGGAACTTGTAGAAAGGAAGATGGATTCTCAAGATACATAGGAGATAGAATCTGCTTGCTGAGTGACTGGGTGTGTGAGGAAAGGCACGTGTTTGTGGCAAGAGCTACTGAGGTAGGAAACTGCAAGAGACAGGTTTGGGCAGAATAAGCACATCCCATAGGCACAGGCCCTGCAGCTAAGGCTAGAGGAACAGCATAACTTTGGTTCTCACACAGGCTAGGGTTTAGCTGAGCCAACAAAGTACACATGAAGTAATTGCAGATTGATTCCGAAAATTTGTGGATTCCGGCATTTCACAGAACTAGGAGGAAGCCCTCAGTCTCACTGTGAATTCAGATACTGCCAAAACCATACAGATGTCTCCACCTCTGTTCATGCCACTCAGATCAGCCCCTCAGAAAACTATGCAGCCTACCTGGTGCCTCACAGGGGCTACCTTCTCCAGCCCTGGCCGTGGGCACCCTTTCTGGAAGATGTACTAAACACTCCTTGAATGTTTTTGGCTTGCCGCTGCCAAGAAGTTCACCTGTTATCGTCAGTCCCACTCTCCCCTGCAAAGGTTAAGAAGACTAAACTGAGCTGCTGTCCCCAGGAGCGTTCTCCTTTGGTCACCAGGGAGTTTTCTGACGTGGCGCATTCCCTGAGTGGCAAAGTGCATCATAGAAAGGAGCCTCCCTTTTGCTCCCTCATGCAAGTGTCCCAATTGGTAGGCCCTTTCCCCACTCTAGCTTTTCCTGGAGTCAGTAAATACCCACATTTTTGCCTCAGAAAAATCAGAAATGTTGCTATAGGATTTATAAGGAAGTCGGCCACCGCTTAGCTGACACTTAGCGTTCCCAGTCTCCACTTTGCCACTGGAGAATTCTGCTAACTCTCTAAACAAGAACTGCTGACTACACAGTAGGCCTACAGTTTTGCATTGTGCAGCGAGCATAGGACAACCCACATCTCAGTACTTAGCCCGAGAGCAGTGGTTAGGATGAGATGTTCTTATGAGATGACAGACACACTGAGAAGCGCCCCTTTACGTGGGAATGGACGTGGACTTTGGAGCTAAACAGACTGGATTTGCATCCTGACTCTGGTGGTTACTACCCAGTGTGCCTTTGTGCTAGTAAACCTGTCTAAGTTGTGAGACTTACCTGTAAATGGTATCCACCTTATTAGGTAATTGTATTAAAGACGGTAGATAGAAGCACCTAGCATAATATCTGGCCTGAATTACCTAATTACCATTCATTTTCTTTCTTTCCCTTGGGTTCGGCTATCTAACCTTTTAGAAGGGAGATACGCCAATTTGGTATGAGCCATGATAAAGTTACTATTCCTGTCTTTGTAAATCCATCTTCCTGCAGCTGCCTCATTCCCAGAAAAGTGCTTCCATACCACTCACTAGCACAAGTTCTGCCTGCAGTCGTCTTCTGCATCTCCCTAATCTAAGATAATTCATCTCAAAAAGTAATTCACTTCTAGCATTCTCCCACGTTTTCTCGGAGCAAATTGTAATGTCATTGGGAATGGGACTTTCTACTTCAGAAAGGAATGGGAACCACAGGCCGGTTCCCAGAGCGGGATGGAGAGCTGTGCAGCCCACCCAGTGTCTCCCAGGGGCCACCTTTTCCTGTACTGGGCCCTGGACACCATGCCGGGAAGATGCACTAATCATTCTCTGAACCTTTTAACTTGCCACTGCCAATAAATTCAGCTGTTATTCTAGTTCCAATCCCACCCCTTTTCCTCAGGGCACAGAAAAAGCCAAACTCAAAATGTATCTTGATTCTAGCGAACATACACCTCCTGTCCTACAGCTCTGTGAGGTCATCATTGAAGTAGAGCAGTATTCCAGGTGTGTGGAATGAACCATCCATATTAAGATAGTCAAATTCTTCCTCCTCATCCCGGATCCCATTCTCTTCCAGGGTATAATTCATGTTCAGGTTCTTCCCTTCGTACTTCCATGTGTAGCTGGCAGCATGTGCATTAAAGGGGAGATAGCGGTGTAGGATTTCCCACATGGACTCCAGGGCCCCCACCTGGAGAACACAGAAGGCACCCCACCCGCAGAATTTTGGATGGAAAACGTGCATACACACACACACACACACACACACACACACACACACCAACAGTCAGCAGCAGTCCAAGATAACAGAGCTGAGGACAGAGTGCCTTCTCCAGCATGAATGGCCCCCAAGCCCTACTTAGAGCAGTCACTTCTGACAGAAGGCCCTGAAGGATGGAAGCCACTGCCCCTCACTCCATCCTTGCAGTTGGAGTACAACTCCTGTTTGGGACAGAGTTCCAAGGATCGCCCTCGCTAAGATGCATGAGCTGCTGCTACCTTGGGCTTAGTAGAAGTTTTCTGTACCCTTGCAACCTAGACATCCCCAACCCTGGGGACATAGGGGGTCTGCTTTCCTCAGCCGCCTAAATGTAAAGGAGAGGAGATATGCGGCGATAAGATGGGAAACTGGCCCAGAGATCTGCCAGGAGATCTGCTGGGATTCCCAGTCCCCAGCCCCACCCCCGGCCCTCCTCCCCCAGGGCACAGTTCTCACCTCCAGTGTGTGCTCCTGCGACGTGAGCGTGTTAATGATGCGGATGTTCCGGGTCTTGGCAGACAGCCGCCCCACCTCGTAAGTCGACCCCTGCCACCAGGCAGTCCCGAAATCATTGGCCCAGTCCGAACGGGGCAGCTGAGGCGGGACGTGCACGAAGCGGCCCCGCGGGGTGCGGTACCTCAGGCAACCGGTCAGCGGGTCTATGTGCTTGCGGATCTTTAGAGCCAGGTTTGGGGGCGGGGAGGTCGCAGCAGTGGTTATTTCAGGCTAGCTTCTGCTTTTCCTCCCCATCCCGCTCTCCAGTGCCCCTCCTTATAACCCGGGGTTCCAGCAGAACTTACATCTCTGGTCTTTGGATCAAACCAGTGGCTGATGTCCTGGCCCGCAACTTCCACGATGGGTTTCAGCAGCAGGTTCCCTGAGAAGGAGCAGCCGCTGTCGATGCTGGGCACAGCGGAACCGGACCCCTCCCGTGCTGCACGCACACAAACACCGGCTTCGGCCCATCGCCTGGCCCTTACCCTTGTACTCCTGTGCCAGCGGCGTTAGGTCGTACACGTATCCCAGGTAAGACACCCAGAGGTCTTCAGGCTGGTTATGTTCGGCCACCTCCGCCGGCGTGAAAAAGCGACGCTGGAAATACTCAAAATCTGGCCCAGCCACTAGGCCCCGGCGCTGCATGGCTCTTCCACTGTCACTCACCAGCTCCCTAAGTTGCTGCCCAGCTCCTCGGCACACACTGTTGCATCCTCCTGGTCGTCCTGGAGCTACGGAGAACGCGTTTACCCGCTGACATGGAAACCATTGTCCTTTTCCGGCCACCATCCACTGAGATTAAACACTGAGGGCGAGGAGGGGCTTGAGTTGTGTGTGTTCACGGGAGACGTAGTCCGATTCCGGCATCGGGCATGTTAGGATCATGTAATGGACAAGTGTCTTCAGGAGTTTCAGAGGAAAGCAAACAAACACGCTCCTTTTTAATTCAGTAGTGCCAGCTACACGACATATTTGGGCCAGACTCTTTCCTGCAGCAAGAAAACAAGGTTGGGGGCGAGGACGAAAGAAAGTAGTCTCGCGAAGTTCCAGAGTTCCTAAAAGGAGGGTTAAGAGACAAGCAGTAAACTTCTCGCGATACCTTAAGACATCCGGTGTAAAAGTCTCACTGAACCACATTGCTGGAGAAGCTCGCGAGATCTCTGCAGTTACCGAGGAGACTAGAAGGAGGTGATCTCGCGAAAGGAAAGAGATCGGCAGGGCTCGCGAGATCTCAGACCACCGAACCCAAAAGGTTTTTAGGAAGTTGAAGGGCCCGGAAGAGGCCCCGGCGCAAATGGCCGGAGCTGGACCGACCATGCTGCTACGAGAGGAGAATGGCTGTTGCAGTCGACGTCAAAGCAGCTCCAGCGCCGGGGTTAGCACGGGCTCGGGTTCTGGGATTGAGGGGCAGTGGGGCAGCAAGATGGGGGGACGGGGCCGGAGGGAGGGGGACTGCAGCTCCCGGCAGCCTCTGGGCTTCGTGCGAGCGCCCCGCGGGCTGGCCGGGGGCGG